ATAAATAAACACACTACCTATATAGGTATATAAATTGTTATAAATTTATTTAACAAAAATAATAGTATTAATTATAATAACTAACCATGGTTTATTATTTGCATATTGAAATGTATTTCGCAATATTGTTGATCGTATTTAAAAATGATTTTTGAGACAATGCATTCAAAGATCTTATTCAAATATTTTGTTGTTTATACTTCAATAACTTTATTTTTAATCATATTCTCGAAAACTATAAATAAATCACAAAATTACCTTTCTGAAAAAAATTATTGTATACTTTTTAAATCAGCAGAGATACATATATTACAAGGATATTTTTAAATATTTATTATTCTAAAAAAATAATAGATGCGAAAAAATATTTTTAGAACTTACCGTTTGACTATTTATTTTTATTTTATTTTTAATTTAAAAATTTTACAAAAATACAAAAATAATATAAATAAGTTGCACTGAAAAAACTATCTTGGCTCATAGTAGATAAATACATTTTTTATAAATATTTTATTTTTACGAAGATAAAAACCGAAGAAAAAATGATTGAAATGATAAAATGTATAGAGCCACATGAGAACAGCAGTTGGTGTTGGTAAGCCAAAAGTGGGAGGCTCATCCGAGTTGTGGTAGTGGATGAGGGTGACCCACTACGTTAGTTAAAAAAGGTAACAAGAGAAAATAAGGGTAAATATAAAAACAATGAAATGTGTATTAAAATTCATAAAATTAAAGAGTTAATTAAATCTGACGTATAATCGTTAACACAAAAAATAAAATATACTTCATTGTTATGAGAATCTAACCTAATGCAAACATTAATTATTAAACTAAGGCTGTGCTCTCACCAGAAGTAACTATCAACGGCGACGTAAATTCAACGCGACACGACATGTATTATCAAATCAACATGTTCTCACAGCCAGCAACACGACTATGAAGCAACTCAACTGTTTAAAAAATGTTTTTAAGCAACTCGACGTGTCAGTCTCTTTCCACCAGTTGCTCGTGATTATTGTATCATACTATAATTGAATAAGATACAATATTATATTTTTAAATTATTTATTTAGAATGGCTAACGAACAAGAAAAAAATGTAACTTTTATACAACTTATAGAAAGTCAAACATGTCTTTATGATATAAAATCATGTACTTTATATATTATACCCGACAAGATATAAAAGAAAAAGTGTTGAATAAAATTTCAATAACACAAATAATTCTAGTATGTTAACGATGTCCTTTTTATCATAAAATAATGAATAACTTATTTATCTTATACATACGTATGTATTTGACATACTTATAATATTAAATACATCATATTACACTTAAATAAATAAAATTATAACAATAATAATTAATATGCAATTAATAGATATAAGTTTTTTTTTTTTTTATTAAAGAAATATATATTTACAATCTATTGCTAGTGAATAATAAGTAAGTGATATAAAACTGGTTAAATAATGAAAATATAAGTTAAAGATAAATTAAGTTTACTTTAATTTTTTTTTATGAGAACATAAAGGCAACTTAATTGAACTTACAATCGCGTCGTTATTTTGTTGCACCAAAAGTTGCTTTTGGTGAGAATACGGCCTAATAAGTATTATACTATTTTGATTTATGAATAATATTTAAACCTTATATCAATAAAATTACTATGATATTTTTAACAACAAACGGCAATGTTGAATTAAAATTTTAAAAATATTTTTTACTAGAAAATACTTTTTAACTAAAAAAAGGTAGTTTAATTTTTTTTTTATATTTATGCGGAAAACTCATGTACTAAAGTGTATTCATGTGGGTTATTTAACTGTAGATATTAAAAAATAAACAGTTTAGATTTAATTATATACAATTAAGTATAAACAATGTTTTTAAAGCATTTATTAGTTAAACAAATTAGTTTCTGGAAGAAACTAGAGAAAAAATAAACATATTTATTAGAAGACTTCCTGGTTGCCAAATGGCATTACAGTAAACAGCCAAATATAAAATTCGAGAAAAACTTATTAAATATTATAACAAACTCTAATTTGTTGACATGTTTGTCTTCTCGATACTTTATAAACAAGAACGATTATTATTATTATTATTATATAAATATTTTAGCACATCCAGGTAAAGTTAATTTATAGTGTTGTACATGCCTCTCCCAGATTAAATTACCTCAGTTCAACGTCAATAAAACCATTAACAAAATACTTAATAAATAATAAATAATACTTTGTAATATAGTAGATATATAATATAAGTTATAACCCTTGAAAAGCGATGAATTTGGTCATACCGTTAATAAAACTCTACGTAAATAATAATTAGTTAATTCTTGTCTCGACTTACTACACCCTACTTTGAAATCAAATATTCTTCAAACAAATTTTTTGTTTATAAAACAGTAATCAGGCCGGTTTTGACTTGTGAAAACCAAATATGGAACATTCGTGCTACACAAAACCTTCCAGAATATGAACTAGAAATTCATTAAAAATACCTTGTGGCTCATAATAATCAATCAATGTATTTCTCCGCAAATAAATCCAACTAATCGTTTATCAAAGTGAATTTTTTGACGTTTACTACTAACGTTCCATAACAAAATCACACTTGTGATCAAAATAATGTTCTCCTTCGTCGTTATTCTTAATATACCCTCCCGTGCATGCATATTTTATTCATTGAAGTAAATTATGATCGAAAACGATCGTCAGTTAAAACGTATAATATAAGAGATGAAATATGTCTACATGTATATTTTAAATTTCTTTAAAATATTGAACATAAACGGTAAGGTCGAACAAAATTGAAATTGCGTTCATTTACTTACAATTAATTTCGAAATTATATTAAATAATACATTACTCTGTAAAGCAAAGAACTAAGACGAGTCAGGAAATATGTCGAACACAAAACTTAATACGTTTTTTTTTCTTAATTTAAGAAAGTATATTAATATTAAATTATAAATTAACATATTGCCTAATTAATTTGTCTTGGTTTATAATACGTTTTTGAATAATATTATTTTAAATTAAAATTGTTTGTCTATCTATTCAAGTATTCTGAGAATGTTGGACTGATATACGAGTAGAACAAAACCATTTTTTTTACATGAACATGATACACACTGGAAAATATAATATGATTTATTTTGATTTTTAAATTGTAAATAAAGAGTTTTGGATTTATAAAATAATATAAAAAAATTACCTTAATAACATCAACAAATAATACCTAAAATAATATTTATTGTACACATTTTATCTATAATTTTTAGATATATATTTAGATAATTGTTTTAGATATAAATATTTATACTCTGTGTAAATTAGTAAATTATCTATACGTTTTAAAATTGATTTTATTTCTTCAATATTTTGTCTTATTTTTAAAGTTACATTTATTACACGAATAAGAACAGTTTTAAATCAAGAGTGATTTTTAACTGAAGACTCAGTTTTGGCTTGTCACATTGTTATTCTTTTTTATTTTATTTTTTAACGAACCGTACGATAATAATAATAGACTATGAATTTCAAAGACACCCGATTTTAATTCAAGTAAGTTCGAGACTTTTTGTTTTAAAAGACTTTAAATTATACCTCGACATTGAACATTTATTTTTGTCGTTGATACTATTCCAAAAATCATTGTCTGATTTGCCAAATCTACTATTAAGGAAAGAAATTATTGATTATGTCAAGATAATCGTGTGTACTCTTTAGAGTTTCAAGTAAAAAAACTTTCTCACTTATTGTATTTACAAATACGACGCTATTTGTACATAAGTATTTAACGTCAAGTACACGCCATGCATTTAATCAGTTAGTGACTGAGAATATTAAAAATGGTTTAAAATAATAATTTGAGTCAAGGGATTTATTTAAGAAACGACCGGTCAGAAACTAAAGAAGTTTTAGAGAGTGAAACATCTACCTGCCTAGACCATATATGGTGCGTGTTGATTTGTCTGGTAACCAAACGACGACTATTTTAGGATTAGTACCAGGCAACCAGTTAATGTGACACATTAAATGTAATTTTTAACCTTCGTTTTATAACTATTAACCATTAATAAATATATATACATATTTATGTATGTATTAACTTTTTATAACATATTTCGTTTAAAAATTAATTGAAATAAATACATCGTATATTATGCGTAAACAGTTGTATATTTTTGTACATTCGATGGTATGAAGTATAATTTTTATTTTTCCACAGTTGTATCTAAATATTTAATACATTACAGTCATAGAGTATAACTCCGCTTCACTTATAATATGCATAAAATATATTAGATCCTATGAATGCACATTGTTGGTGAAGATTACAGTTATATGTTATCTCCTACAGTCACTCGGCTATATTTAAATATGTACGAATTGTTTCATATCGTTTTTATTAATAACATAGTTCATGTATATGAATGGTATATTTAAAAATAATATTGTTTCAATTATAACGTAACTATTAATTATTTTTATGATAGCCAATTCAATAAATTAATACCAATATATTTTTAATTTATCATTCAAAAATACTTATGATCCATATAAAATAGGCGATCATTACTAGCCTACGCTCCAATAATGATTTCTGTTGTTTGATTTTGTTAGATGTACAATGAATACTAAAACGTAATTATTATCTATAAATTATAGTTAATCTTAGAAAATGATTGCTTATTCATTGTACTAACATTGAAGTTTATTTATTTTAATAGCTAGTAATTACAATAGTTCGGAAAGTTAACTAAAAAGACTATACAAATAGATGCCGCCCATTTTCCGCTTTAAACTCTAAAATATCGAACTAGTCAGTATCAATTTAATTTCAGGTGTTTTGTGTGATTGCCATTAATAAGGTGATTTCCATATATACTAATATGTGCATAATATGTTTATATATATGTGTGTTTTTTGTTTAATTGTTGATGTTCAACAGTGAGATATATAAATATATATTTATAAATGATATATCTCACTGTTGAACACCAACAATTAAACAAAAAACTCATAAGAAAATGAAAAATAAAAAACTACAGCCGTGATAGATATTCATGTACACAATTGCCGTGTTAGCGATAGAGTATATAGTGCAGTTTAAAGAAATTTGAAATATTAGCCAAAAGAAATGCAAGTCAATGTTATCCGGCAGAAAGCCTTATACAGTGGTATTATTATTCACTATTGTATTTAGTGCGTATCTTAAAGGATGATATTATTTTAAATAAGCTATCGTCTAATTGCGTACTGAATAATTACAGTTTTATATTATATAATAGTATATCATATTATATTATATCCATAATATTATGTATATCGCGAAAAAAAAAATTAACAATGTTTCAATCCAAGTTCAATGTTTTAAAAGAACCTTCGACGCCAAAGAAGTCACTTTCTGTTTTTGGTTTCCCAGGGCGTTTTTGTTCATCCACTCTGAACCGTTCTTCTTCCAAAAACCACTGTCTCATTTCTTTGATATTATTATATGTATCGACTAAATTAATTAAAACATAGTTTAAGATTAACTGTTGTAATTTTGTTATTGTCAAACGTTAATTATTTTAATTTAATTTTTTCAATTCACCCACCTTCTATATCTTTTATTGATTTTCCACTGCCTCCGAATTCAATTGGCATTATTTCTTTAGGTACATGTTCAAATATTGTTTCGGAATTCACTGAGTGGTAGAATAACTGAAACAACATAATTAAATGTGTACCATTAACTATGATACATGTATGTAGGTAATATGTTACTGTTAAAAACAGATAATATTACTTTTTCTGATAATTCCTTTTTCATAAATGGTTTTGTCATACTAGTTATCATATCAATGAAGGGTACGGTGTTTATCGTATGAATACCTTTTAGACGAGCTGGTAATCCTTCCTAAAATGGATATTTTCTTGTTAATTAAATCATGAATTAAAATCATTATTTTTGGTCATACTTGCAAGAAGTATACGTATTTTTTCATCATATTAATACCAAGACGACCAACATGGCTGAGACTAAAACCTTTCATGTCGTAAACAATAATAAGTCCATTGAATGTTCCTGAATTCATTAGCAACATGTCAATAATCATGCTGAGAGCTTTAATGAATTCTGTTAAAACAAAAAACTCTGCCTCTAAACGTTTAGCATAAACAATTATAACTCTGCAACCATCAGTAGTTGACCCCGGCAAAACGTTAAATGATCTATAAAAAGCAATGTATCCATAAGTTGAATATCATTTTACTCACAACATTTATTTTTTATTTTTACATTGTTTTAAATGCTTCAGCCACAGGTTTCAGTTCAACGTCTCGTTTTGTGAATAGCTCAGGTGAATGAGTACGAAGAGTGAAATACGATTCTATTGTTACTTTAGTTGGTTCCAACCGATAATAACAACTATGGAAAAACAGTATAAGGAGCTCATCTGAAAATGTTTATTTTGTTAATATCTTTGAATGAGATATAATTTATGTTATAGGTATCATATTAAACAGATTTCACAATTATAAAATACTTTCATAATAATATGAAATCATTTCATTATACATATATATATATATATATATATATATATAATTATTGTTATTTCAATTATTATTATATATTTTATTTATTTCAAGTAAGTTTGAGTAGTGATTATTTCAGGAGTTGACAAAAGGGAGAGGAAATACCCCCAGAAAAATGTTCGACTGTATGGGAAATATTTTAATTTATCTTTAACTATTTTCCTATTAGGACCGGGAATATTTATTATGCATTTTAAATACACATCTACAAAATTTGTATTTTAAAAAATATTTTTGAACTTTTCCATAAATATCAGTTTTTGATTACATTAACACCCATTACCAGTTTTGAGGTGCGTGAAAATGCTAAATTATTTCAAAAAATATATCTGGAAGATTTAGAAATATCATTACAAAATGAATGCATTCACTTTAGAACACACTTAAAATTTTTAAAAAAGGAGAATCAAATTATACCTAAAAGTGTTCAGTGTATGTTGGTATTTATAAAATAGAATAGTTAAAGTGTAATAGTTACAGTGCCGAATCTAAGTCTCAAGAGGTCAGGGTACAAATATCAATTGGAGTGCCCTTAAAAAAAAATTGACTCAACTTATAGCATAAGCCTATAGGTGTAAGTGGTATAACTAAGTACTGACTACTCACCAGTAATGTGAGGAAGATGAGGTTGTTTGGATATCCATTCTCTAAGATGATTTAATTCTTCTTCTTTGAGTTGAGGGTTTTTTGTAAATTCATCAGTTACGCTGAAAAATTTCATATTTATATGGTTTACGATCACTTATATTATTCACGACTACCAGTTTTTGACAGTATGACAATATTTAATAGAACTACAACATTTCTCAATTAATTTTTCGTTATATACCAAATATGGTGTGCAGCAATAATTATTATTTACGATTTTTGAATGCACGGGAAATCCTTGAAAGTTCTGTTGTTTGTGACATACACAATTATTAGGTTCCTATCTACAGGGAACTTTTTTATAATTTCATACGTGTACTATAAAATATCAACTTTTGATTCAAACATTTTGTAAAAATAACATTATTATAATCGTACTTTATTTATTTTATTATACGATATTCATATTATATTATTATTTATTTTCAAATATTCAATATTAAATTATTATAAAATACTGATTTTTACTACAAATAAAGTAGTAATTGTAACAATTTTCGATTTTATAATATTGTTACAATGTTCAAAGGTAAATTAAAAATACAAACTTATGATGCTTCGTGGTTCATCAATTTATCGACCGATAATTATATCAGCATACTTAATTATAATCTATGATTATTGTATTTAGTTTTAAATTAAATGTTATCGATTCATTTCAAATAAAATACTGAAATAGATATCTGAAGTAAATTAATCCAATAATGATTTAATTATCTATAATCTATGTGATATGGTTATAAAATAATTATAATCAATGTGTGAGAATATTTTAACAATCCATTTAACTTACCAAGAAAAACTCGGCTGTTCATTACCCTGTATATTTCAATGTAACATAAATATATAGATCGTCAATACAGAAGAAAAAATATATAATTTATGTACTAATAGGTGTAGCCTTGTATGAAAATCATGATTACCATCCAGAACCAAAGGATTTTTATACTGCACATTGATAAATTGGTAATATGAGTGTTACCTAGTAGTACTTACCTATAGAAAAATTGTATAATATAACAATATGTATTTTGGTATTATTTAACTTGAACTTATGTATACAATTACTTTGTACATAGAATTTGTTTCGACATTTTTCCATTTCTTATAATCTTATTTTTTCCATTATTTTTTTGTTTGTTCTTGTTTTCATATACAGGAAAACCTCGATAAGACGGAATCGCTTGGGACCATGACATTTTGGCTATAGGTGAGTTGCGGCCCGACATGTCATTAACGTGTTGGAGACCGATGAATTGCGGCCCGGTCATATTTTATCACTAAGTAAATTGCGGCACGGAAAATGTATTTATTTTGTGCCGGCAGTATCGACAGTATCTGATATAAAGTACCATAATATCGATAGTTCAAACAAAAAATATTACAGTGTTCTGTTCATCACTCAGTACCTAAGGATGGCAAAAAATGTTATGCTGATATATCGGTTCAGAAAATATCGATACATCGATAATTCAAAAAAAAAAAAAAATTTATAATATTTATTGTTCTTTTTTTTGTTTGTCATTACTAGAGCTCAAAAGTTGATTTATTTTGCATTGTTTTTTAAATTCTTAAATAATTTCTTAGTTGAAAATTATTTTCGATAGCATGTAATTTAACTTGAAATAACTTATTTTATATTGCATTGAAGCCAATTATTCTCTACGAAGGCTACAAATTTCAAAGTTTAGGACTCACGAAAATGTTTAACACACAATACAGATAAAAGTTACCTATTATTTAAAATTTTTTTTTGGTTTGCCATTTTTGTATTCTGATAATATATATCATTCATTGTTTCACGGATGACTTTTTAGCAATACTGCCCGCTAAAAATGATCGGGTTGTACAATTTACCGACTATTTTTTCGAAAACTATATATTCCCGGACGCCATGTTTCCCCCAAATATTTGGGCACAGTTTTCTGCTAGCTGTAACCGTACCACTAACGGCTATGAAAGTTTTCATTGACACCTAAATTCATCTTTCTACTCTAGTCATCCTAACATTTTTAATTTTATTGATGTGGTAGTAGAAATTAAACCAGAAACGTTTATCAAATGGAGAAGTAATGGAATATAATTGAAGAAAATATGTGAAAAAGAAGCATTTATAAGACAACACATGACAAATCTAGCATACAAAGAAATAGAGAAGTTTGATTTCGTTAAATCATTAAGTTTTAAGTTTTTGACAAACCAATTATCTAAAAAAATTCATAAATTACCATAAATTACCATAAATTTTGCCATTTTTACATAAATAATATAAATAATAAAAAAAACAAATTTTTGAGAGACGATTCAGCCAACCTCCTTGTGGTGTTTTCTAGGTAACGCTGATAGGCTGTTATGAAGTGATAAATAAAATGTCGCCGCAACTCGTACGTCTGTCTTATAAACACGGGCCGCAACTCATACTTAATTTAAGGATTGGGCAGCAAATCACCAACATCGGAATTTTTTCCGTGTTAACGGGGTTTCCGTCTTGAAGGGATTCAAAAAAATATCCTCCAAGTTCTCGCCTATGATAGAGCTCCTTTCAAGTCTTGGGGACTTTTTTTTTTTAGTAATATCATCTAAATAGATTACAATTTTGTATGCTGTTCCTCAAAAAACATCAATTTTTAACAAAGCATTTTCTCGATTGAAGATTTCTGTGGTACAATAATCATTTCTCTGGATTCACTGCGGTTTGGATCTTATTTGATCGTTCTCTGAGAACTGCTCATATAGGATTCAGTTGTTCAAGGAATTCACACAAAGGAAAGAAAAAAAATCCAATATGTTCAACACCTGAATAGGTAATACGATATTATAAATCGTAATCTAAGTTCTGCGCATATGCAATGAGGTACGTTCGAATAGGTATTATACATCGCACTGGAATTTGATGCGTGTTTGAACTATACGAATATTGACAATTATTTTTAAATAACTTGTACATTGTTTAAAATTTATCTTATAACTCTGTGAAAATATATTCGTTATTGCAATAATAGTGTAATACTTGGGTACACGTTCGATTCGGGACACTGGAGAGGACTTTTTCAAGGCAATTCCGTGTAGCGTGATTTGAAAATTATTTACATTGTGTCGTTTTAAATTATACTATAGCGAATTCTATTCCTTGTTATGCTCATCACAGCATGACATTTGCCGTTAAATACTCTTAAACGACCTATGAATTCTCATCATTTCAAACCGTTGACCTACTTATATTTCAATATCTAACTCGGTTTATTAACAATTCATACTTTGATCGATTATTATGCGGCAGAACAACAATACGTCATTACATCACGCGTACGCTTGGCTACACTGTTGTGTCACCGTAATCCTGATAATGATGACAATCAATCGCCGGTAATTTTCTGATAACAGACGTGCTGCTTTGATTGCGTTCCGAGAAGAACAATCACGTTATTTGGCCAATAGTTACCTTTGTAAGTCAATCGTTGGAATTCGTAGCTCGAAATGTCTTCGATGGCGGCACTTAAACTGTGCAGAAGTCAACTGACTAGAATCGTGTGGCGTTACAGTAGCGTTGGACAAACGTACAAACCCAGACTACTCAACGCTGCACCGTCATTAAGTGAGTAGACCGACATGATACATTGATCGCAATCGTTTTGTAACACCATGTATTTGTTTTTTTTTTTTTTGTTATGCAGGTGTGTCCATCAGAAACTTTACACCGAATCCCAATGTGGACGATAGTGTTAACAACCAAAGCACTGGTGGTAAGATATTTGAATCATGTAATTCATTGTGATTGGCTAAACATTTTCATTGTTGGTTTTTCAGAAAAGTTGGAATTTCAAGCAGAAACGCGTATGTTGTTAGATATTGTGGCCAAGTCATTGTATTCAGAAAAAGAGGTATGTGATGGGAAACACAACAGTATTGGAACGCATTACTGTACTGTGAATTCTGTATGGATTATATTTTTATTTAGGTTTTTATCAGAGAATTGGTTTCAAATGCCAGCGATGCACTGGAAAAACTACGCTATCTTAGTTTAACAGAAGGCAAATCGCATGATCTTGGAAATTTAGAAATAAACATAACCACCGATAAAACAAACAGAATATTAACGATTCAAGATACAGGAATTGGAATGACTAGAGAAGAATTAGTGTCCAATTTGGGTACTATAGCTAAATCTGGTTCTAAAGTAAATATTTTTTATAAATCTATTAACAAACTATGAATACATGTTTATTGGAAAGTTGTACTTGTTTTATTTATTTCAAAGGCATTCATGCAGCAAGTTCAAGAAAGTAATTCGACAAATATATCGTCAATCATTGGTCAATTTGGTGTTGGATTTTACAGTTGCTTTATGGTTGCTGATAAAGTTGAAGTTTATACTAAATCAATGAATCCTAATGCTACTGGATACATTTGGAAATCAGAAGGGTATTCTTTTTAAATTATTTTAGTAACACATTAACTATGAACATTTGTTTTCAGAACAAATGTTTATGAAATATCAGAAGCTGATAATGTAGATAGAGGCACAAAAATTGTTATGTATCTTAAACCTGATTGTCGTGAATACGCTTCAGAAGACACTGTTCGTAGTGTCATAAACAAATACAGTAATTTTGTAAATTCTCCGATTAAATTAAATGGATCTGAAATAAATACAATACAAGTAAGAGTTATATTTTATAATATTTTTTCTCTACCTAATATTTATGATTTATAATATGATTTTAGCCATTATGGTTACTTAATCCAAAATCTGTAACCAAAGAACAACATGATGAGTTTTTCAAATTTGTAGCCAATACTTATGATAGACCAAGGTTTGTGTTGCATTATTCAGCTGAAGCACCAATTCAAGTGCGTGCTCTACTATACTTCCCAGAACTAGCACCAGGTTTAGTATGACATTTTTAAAAATGTTATGTTTGTAATTAAATTAATTATCAACTGAATTAATTTTTAATTCAAATTGTTATTTATTGCAGGTCAAACTGATTTTTATGATAGCTCTACTAAAGGTGTTTCACTCTATACTAGACGTATTTTGGTTAAAAAAGAAGCTGAAAATGTACTTCCTAAATGGCTTCGTTTTGTGAAAGGTAATATTTTAAATTATTTTATCTGTTATTATCTAAATTGAATGAGAAATACTTGGCAAAATAAAAATTATTGATTTAAAGAGGTAAATCTTTACAAATGACAATTTACATATTTTTTAAAAATTTATTTAAACATTAATAATAAATTGATCTATTGTTTTAGTTATTTGAAATTCAAAAGGTTGATGTAAATTAAATAAAAATGTTCTATTAAATTTAATTATGTAAAAAAGTAAAATATTTTTCTTATATTGTAATTATACAATTTTATAATTACCTACAATTATATCTTATGGCATAATTTGATTCAGTCTTTATTCATAATTATATAGTTACAATAGTAAATATTATCATTTTTCATAGGTGTTATTGATTCCGAAGATATTCCATTAAATTTGAGTAGAGAAATGTTGCAAAATTCTTCATTACTTAGGTATAAAAAACAATATATTTAATCAATTTTAATCTAATCATTAATATTTCTATTTCTAGAAAGTTAAATCAATTATTGACCAGTAAAATTGTGAGATTCTTACATGATAAATCAATAAAAGATCTCGATGAGTATATGAAGTTTTATCAGGACTATGGTGTATTTATAAAAGAAGGAGTTGTGACAAATGAAGATCCTAATGAACGAGTTTGTATTTTATTATTATAATTTGTTTTAAATGTCTGTCATAATTTGTATTTATTGTTTATGTATTCTTTATGAAATATATTTTTATTGGATGAACATTTTAGATGTTTCAAAGATATAGATATATATATATAGATATATTTTTTAATTTAAATATTTTGAAATTCTTAATAATATAATTTTAATTAAAATAAATGTATATAACACTATGTAATCTATTTAAATTTCAAAAAATATAATTTTATTAAATTTAATAATATTAAATAATATTAATTTAATATAAAATTGTTAGGAAATAAAATTTTAATGATTATGATATTAGATTTTTCAACAAATATTACTACAGTAAAAAAATTATTCATTTTATCAAAAATTCAAGCTAAACATATATATTATTTATAATAAATATAACTATTGTGGTCGTTGAAATATTTTTTATGGGTCAAGTTCAAATAAATTAAACTATTAAACTACTTTAATGTTATATTCAAAACCATTTTGAACTGTTATATCAATTTATTGAATTTGTGGGTGACTTATAGATTTATGATATATTTCATTGTCTGGGGTTGGTGGCTATATTTGTTTACTGTGGAATCTTTCCTTTTCTGTATTATTAATGTTTCTTTTTGATTATCATATTTAATCTAGATTCAGTTTATTGTTATTCATTCTTGTCATTTAACATTAACTTGAAGTATCAACTAATTTATCAGAATTTGACAATGTCCACTTCAATATTTTTTTTTTCCATCCTATTGGTTTTCATTCATTTTTTGGTTGTTAACCTTAGTTTCAAAATTTTATACGCATGAAGGAATTTTGCTACGACTCTAAAAAGTATTATTATATATATATATATATATTTGGTCCATTTTTTGTGTTTTGGACACTAAGTATTATATATTAACCAGATTGATATTTAAGACTAAAAATTATTAACTAAGAGTAGGTTATAAATGTTTTAATATAACATAATTTGTAAAAGTTCAAAGTTTACAAAATTGTATGTATTTTCTTTGAAAGGTCTTAAAATTATAAATTATATAAATTCCAGGAAAATCTTGCTAGTCTTTTGAGATATGAATCATCATTTACCAAACCTGGCGAAACTACATCTTTTGAAGAATACATAAAGAGGAGACAAGAAGGTCAAAATGATATTTACTATTTATCTGCTCCTAAGTAAGGAAATTAACAAAATAATAAATATTTATCTTTAACTATTGTAAATATTTGTACACAGTCGTGCCTTAGCTGAAACTTCTCCGTACATAGAAGCATTAAAAAAGAAAAACGTTGAAGTAATTTATTGTTATGAACCACATGATGAAATAATTTTATATCAAGTTAAAACATTTAAAAATGTCAAACTCACTTTGGTTGAAAAAGAAGTTAACACTGCTAATAATCAGGATTCACAGACTACCGATTATGGTTTGTTATTATGATTTAATTATAAAATAAATGTATCTTTTTTTTTTAATTTATTTATAGGTACTGACAGTTTGAGCCAGTTACAATTAGATTCATTATTGCCTTGGATTGAATCAGTACTAGGTCCTAAAGTAAAAAAAGTGAAAGCTACTGGACAATTAGATAGCCATCCATGCATAATTACTGTTGATGATATGACTGCTGCTAGACATTTTATTAAAACTCAATTAAAACAAATGGATGAAGAAATGTTGTTTTCAGTTTTACAGCCTCGATTTGAATTGAATCCCAAGTACTTATATTATATTTTATCTTAAAAATTATATTTTATATTTTTATTTTTGCTTTTAGGCACATAGTCATCAAAAAATTACATTCATTAAAAGATTCAAATCCAGATTTAGCTAAATTAATTGTTGAACAGGTAAATATATGATATACAGAGAAACTTGTCTAAAATGCAATTGTATTTAGTCCCATCATAATTAATTTTATTGGATAAGCTAGAAATGTATTTAGAAAAAAACCATATTAACCATCCTTCATGGGATTCTTATTTAAACATTTTTTACTGTATATTATATACTATATATCTAAAATATGTTAACGGTAAACTATTTAACATATAAATAAATAAATAAATAGTTTAAATATAGAAATTAATTAATTAATAAAGACAGCATGAAGTATTATAATATTTGTTAAGTAATACCGGTTTTGAATTACAATTTCATCATCAGGTATATACAAAGTTAATAAAATTAAGACTAAATATAAAAAAATAAAACAATAACTCGTAAAATATTTAAAAAACAGTTAAAGCTTCTAACAAAAAAAACTAATAAGTAAATTATTATATTAATGTTAACTTAAAAAAATACTTTAAGAATACATTCATATGTTTTAAGTATTTTAGTTGATTAACTTGTATAACTTATTTTTTATTCCTCTAGACATTGTTAAGTGTGAGTTAAGTGTTATGGTTTTATATATTTTTTTAGTTATTTTCAATGTATAATTTCTGTTATGTCTGTTATGTTGAGGTGTAAGAAGTGTAAAAATTGTTAATAAACAGTATGGTATTTCTAACACTTTCTTTAATTTAGGTACCCTGGTACTTAGTATATTAGGAAATAAAATGACAGTTAATTATTTTGTATCTTAATCTAACGTTTGTAATATATGTATTTTTATTGTTTTATTCAGTTATACAGTAACTCAATGGTAACAGCTGGCCTTATTAGCGATTCAAGAAAATTGGTGTCCAACATGAATCGTCTTCTTGAATTAGTTATGGAAAAATATTAAGTTGTGGATTCATTGTTTATAAATATCCTCATTTTGTAAATATTAGAAAATGTTATATATATATATATATATTTATATATTTTTTTTTTATCATTAAATGTTTATACAAAAAAATATTTCTCTGATTTTTTTTATTTTTTCACTTTTATTTATTTCTTTTTTTCTTTTTTTACACTACGTACGCATTTCATACTATATATGCTTGGTATGCTATGTTCACTCTATGGTGAGGTAACACAGAACACGCTACGCATGGCCAGCACAAGAAAAATCTGACGAGGGGTGGGTGTCATACCAAAATTGCCGACTCGAAAAATTAAAAGCCGGAGCAATAATAACAAGTAAACTTCTAAAATAATTTTTTCCTATAAATCAAATACATGTTATGCATGTTTAGTCTAAAAACAAATGTCATATATTTAATTAAATGTATATTATTATTTATCATTATATTTATTGATTAGGTATCTGTAGGAATGTGATTTTTGTTAAAATGTTAGTAAAGGTAAAAAGTAAAAAATTAAATTAATAATTCCACTAGGCACCAAGTTTTTGTATTCTATAAACTATAAAATGCTTTTACAATTATGAACTATACATTTATACTAGTGTTCTTGATTTGATGTGGGTAATACCCGAGTTCCCACAAACCCGGGTACCAGTTTATCCGGGTAATACCCTATTTTGTGGGTAGTAAACGTTTTCGGATAGTGGGTACCATTACCTAAAATGTGACTTGGCATACATTTAAAAGTTTTACAATAATAAAACTGAAAAAATATAATTAAATCAAGAAACAACACGATTCGACCATCATAACAAAACAATAATTATACTCAATTTTTATCATAATAGTAGTTTTATTTTTTTAATATCATAAAAAAATTATCATTATCAATCACTATAAAGAAAACGAAGGGCAATAGAAGTAAAAAGAACTCCACATTTAAGAAAAAGTGAAAATTGTTAATTTAATATAAAAAATAAGGTAAATACTCGGTAATACTGTAATATTGTAATATTTTAGAAAAAAAAGTAGCATCTTTACATTTAAAGTTTAGAGATTTAGAGGAAAAAACCCTGTGAAGAAAGAAAAAAACCAAAATATGACAAATCATTAAATAATAATTTATTTAATAAAACACTAATTTTAACATCATAAAAATATAAAATTTCTACACAGAAAAAAAGTAATGAAGTAAAAATTATGAAAATATTAAAAAAAAAAGTGAAAATTGTTATAAAAAAAGAAAAAACTTGGTAATTTGAAAAAATAAATATGTTATAAAAATGGTAAAAAAGAAGAAAAACCCTGTAAAGGGTAAAAACTAAAATAATTGACAAATTAATTTAGGTAATTGAAAAAAGTAGTACCATACAACAAAAGGTATTAAAAAAATCTATGAAAAATGTATAAAATGGGAAGAAAAGGCTAACTAAGCGTATAATCTCGGTAGTGAAATAGATTTCGGGTCTAATTTCATCCCCGAGAATATCGGTTGCCCTCTTTGCCCCCCCCCCTCAAATACGCATTTGTTTCGACATTGATGAAGCGCAATAGAATGAGCATGCCCTAGGTAATAAATACCGCGGCTGCTAGTAGAGGTGGTCTCGGAATAACTGATATTTTATAGCGGTAACAAGCGTCATATAGTTTGCGCATACATCTATTGCATGCTCTCTCGTTAAATGTTATTGAGTATAACAGAATTAAATTACATTATTATAATGCATTATGTTCTTTTAAAATACGTAATATATTATTGATTATAAAATCATTTTTGTATTTTGATTAATACGTTTTTATTCCTAAGCATGCTGGGGAGCATGCCTGGAGAATTCGCCACTGCTTTAGACATATCTGAACTTGGAGGAAATAAAGAAAAAATCTTACTTTATATCTTCTAATGTAATGGTTGATTTTAATGGAATTGATAAAATATGGTAGATAGGTTGCACCGAAGAAAGACAAGACTTCAAATATTCTGCCATCAAATTTATTAAAGTACCTATCTAAAACCTGACTAAATTCTTTTCGACAAAATGTTTCTAATGTGAAATCAGCTTGAGTATTGGAATTGGAATCAATTTTTCTTCGGATTCAACCGTTTCCTATGATCCCTCTGAAAATCAACAGCTGGGTTCACATCCATTTTTGACGAAAATACTTAAGCACTTTGATATGAGTTTATTTAATTGATCTGTGTCATTTCGGATTACTTTTAATGATCTTACTGCACATTCTATTAACAAAATATAATCAATAATATTGAGATCTGAAGCCTCCAATTGTTCTGTTAGTGTTTTCATTTGATACATTCTGGTTATTATTGTGTACATACTAACAAAGAAGTCAAATGACATACACTTTTTTTCTAATGCTACAGCTTGACTTTTATTTTTTTGGTCTATGTTTTTAACGATTGTCAGTTCATTAATTTAAAACACATAAAATTATTTCATATGAAGTGTTAATTGCTTTATGGGACTCGGCACGTGCAGTCTATCTGGTCTTTGATAAATTGCGAAATTTTAATGACCCTTCAACCTCAAACAACCTTTTCAGTAGATATCCAACTTGCTTAGTGCATGAAGAAAAAAATACATATAAGGATTCTAATTTGTTAAATAATTCCAGGGCCGTCCTGATGATTTGCGGGGCTCGGGGCAGAGTAATATCGCGGTGCCTTGAATGTCGAAAATGTCATTATCGCGCGTCAATTGCATATTAGAACTCAAATGTGCGCAAATGATCTTAACAAATATAGTACCTTAGCTCTTACAACAATATGAACAAGTAAATTAATAAATAAATTATATAGTAAACAATTTTACGAAATGATAAGTACATTTTTTTTTTGCTCGTCAACTTAACTTTTTTTTATTGTGTCTATGATCTATGAAAGCAAGGCCTGTTCAACTGTGGTGAGAGCGCGGGGTCTAGGACGAGGGCTCCGCTTGCCCAGCCCTAGGAACGGCCCTGAGTATTACCGATTGATTAATTGCCATTGAAAAACTCATTTGAAATCACGATGGTACGCACGTTTTCAAAACGATCTTAAATACAAATAATGCTTTCGTAAAACCATCGAGGAAATGTTTAATATTGTTTAAAGTTTTCACTTTTATGGACCGTTCAAAACACTAAATGTATCGCAAGTAACTGTATACGTTTTACAGTTGGCATAAAATGTTTTTGAAATTATTTGTAAATTATAGAAACGTTTTAAAAAGCGAAAAATTACTTGAAAAACTCTCACCACACTGTCATAAAATGCAAAGAGAAATTTGAATAATGTGACATGTATCCAATTTCATATTAAGAAAACGGGTCATTTTTACGATAAATTTAAATGTCACGCATTGGTTACATGTCATGTTTAGTAACGATAACAACAATGATCAATGGCACATCAACACGTTAGACTTGACTGACAAGAGTAAAAAAGTTAGAGCTAGTACAATTGTAATGAAGTCACAAAATGCTAACTTCGATCGTCTTCTTGAAACATGAACACTAATTATTTGTTAACATGCTGATTTTTTTTTCTCCGTGTTCGATGAAATCGTTTCACAAATTGATTTATGATTTATTTAATTTTTCCAGTGTCACACATTATAGTATCTGAAATATAAATCGACTTATTTGAATCTCATGTTCTCCCGGTTATAATTTGGAAATATAAACGCCAATACTTTTTAGCTTTGCTTATGATAATTATTGATTTTTTTTCGCAACGAATGTCAACTCGTCCGGATAGAACGTGCAATAATGATTTGCGTATGGTGTGTTGCGCCGCAGGAGCAAATACGTAAGAGGCGACTTCGCCGCGGGGAAGATCATGCTGTCGGAGAAGACGGGCGATATCCTGTTGGCGCCGATCGTGGTGACCACTTCGGACGTCCAAGAGTTTGACTTTTCCATTCTCATCTTCAAGTCGTGGTGAGCCTGCAGTGCATGGCAACGCGCGCACACCCCTTCGCCCGACCAACCGCACGCTTTTGTACGCCTCGCGCACGTACACGCCGTAGCCGTTTGCTACGTGATCGATCCCACAGGATCATGGCTGACGAGAAATTTTGAGAGCCCCGGCGCTGATCGGTTCCCGGCTCCCTTTACTTGCACTCGTTTGGACAGGATACACACACTGTTTGTACATACTTTAGTGCGATAAAAATATTCAAACTCGCATCTAGTTTTCGTTGCGGCGAAAGAGATTATAAAAAAATGTTTTATAAAAGGCTGAGACGACGGGCCCCGAGGCTCTAGCCCTCCATGCCCTGCATAGGGTACACGTAGCCACCGATGCTATATCGTGTGAAAAGCACTGCGTGCACGCGTACAACATATCGCAATACCGCTGCCGATTACTACGAGGACGGATTAAAATTTTCGGGAGGAGGGGGAATATACACGAACGAAAAATTGTATTTTGTTTTACTTATTATTAAACCACGTTCATTATCGTATTTAGCAGTGGTAACATTTGACTACTTGTTTAATAATAGACAATCGTAAAAACAATCAAATCGAGTGTGAGTCATCGTAGTACTCGCAAAAACACGAATCGCCCAAATTTTCATCTGTATTTTAAAACACCATTCGTTGCCGATGAACGCAATTACATCTGTTATCAGTTAAATAAGTGTATACATAAATAAAATATTTTATCTGTATCTTAATTTGAGGGTCGTACAATTATGGGACCCCAGGGCAGCCCACTCGGCCTTCTTCTGAACCCGGCTCTGACGCTACTTAACGCACGTACCTATGAACGTTGTCCCAACATTTCTCGAACCCGCTTTTATTTTCACTGCGTTTTTCTTCACGGCACCACTGTAATCGCATTATAAATGGACAATCGTGTCCGATTTTTCGAATCAATTGTTTTTTGCCCAATACAGGTTGACTACCGGTGATGTATTGCTAAAATAAATGATGGGTATACATGTTATTTCATGTTGTAACTATAATATAGCAGAAATCCACAAAACTCACTATAGTCATTATAATGAAGTACACATCCTTATTTATGACTGTTTGA